GAAGACACCATCAAAAGTCTACCAACCAAGAAAAGCCCAGGACAGGATGGATACACAGCTGAGTTCTATAAGACCTTTAAAGAAGAACTAATACCAATACTCTCAATTTATTTCAGGAAATAGAAAAAGAAGCAGCACTTCCAAACTTATTCTACAAGGCCAACATCACTTTGATTCCAAAACCAGGCAAAGACACATCAAAGAAAGAAAACTTCAGACCAATATCTTTAATGAATATAGATGCAAAAATTCTGATAAACATTCTGGCAAATCAAATACAAAAACATAATAAAAAGATCGTGCACCATGATCAAGTGGGATTCATCCCAGGGATGCAAGGTTGGTTCAACATACGGAAATCAATAAACGTAATTCATCACATCAATAGACTTAAAGATAAGAACCATATGATCTTCTCAATAGATGCAGAAAAAGCATTTGACAAAATACAACACCCCTTTATGTTCAAAACACTAGAAAAAACTAGGGATAACAGGAACATATCTCAACATCATAAAGGCTAACTATGATAAGCCTCAGGCCAACATCATTCTAAATAGAGAAAAATTGAAAGCATTCCCTCTAAAAACTGGAATAGACAAGGAAACCCTCTTTCACCACTTCTATTTAACATAGTTCTTGAAATTCTAGGCAGAGGAATTAGACGAAAGAAATTAAAGGGATGCAGATAGGAAAAGAAGAACTCAAACTGTCAATATTTGCCAACAACATGATTCTATATCTAGAGGATCTACAAAATTCCACTAGAAAACTTCTAGAACTAATAAATGAATTCAGCAAAGTAGGAGAATATAAAATCAACACCCATAAATCAAAGACATTTATGTATACATCAGTGACAAACCCTCTGAAAGGGAAATGAGGAAAACTACCCCATTTACAATAGCCACAAAAAAATTGAAATACTTGGGAATCAACTTAATGAAAGATGTGACAGACCATTACAATGAAAATTACAGAACAATAAAGAAAGAAATTAAAGAAGAACTTAGAAGATGTAAAGATCTTACTTGTTCTTGGTTAGGCAAAATTAATATTTTCAAAATGACTATTTTCCCAAAAGCACTATATAGATTTAATGCAATTCCAATCAAAATCCCAATGACATGCCTCATAGAAATAGAAAAAGCAATTATGAAATTCATCTGGAAAAATAAGAGACCAAGAATAGCCAAAGCAATCCTTAGCAAGAATAGTAAAGCAGGTGGCATCACTATACCAGACATTAAACTATACAGAGCAACAGTAACAAAAATGGCATGGTATTGGCACCAAGGTAGACTGGTAGACCAATGATACAGGATAGAGGGCACAGAGACAAAATCACATAAATACAGTTATCTCATACTAGACAAAGGCACCAAAAAACATATATCAGAGAAAAGATAGCCTCTTCAACAAATGGTGCTGGGAAAACTGGAAATCCATATGCAACAAAATGAAATTAAACTCCTATCTCTCACCATGCACAAAACTCAACTCAAAGTGGATCAAGGACCTAGGAATTAGATCAGAGACCATGAGCCTAATAAAAGAAAAAGTAGGGCCAAATCTTCATCATGTTAGATTAGGCCCCAACTTCCTTAATAAGACTCCCATAGCATAAGAAATAAAATCAAGAATCAATAAATGTGATGAATTCAAACTGAAAAGCTTCTTCTCAGCAAAAGAAACAATCAGTGAGGTAAAGAAAGATCCTACAGAGTGGGAGCAAATTTTTACCACATGCACACCAGCTAGAGTACTAATCTCTAGAATATATAAATAACTCAAAATTAAACTTAACACCAAGAAAACAAAAACCCAATCAACAAATAGTCCAAGGAACTGAACAGACACTTCTCAGAAGATGATATCAATCAATAAACATATGAAAAAAATGTTCAACATCTCTAGCAATCAGAGAAATGCACATCAAAACTAGTCTAAGATTTCATCTCATTCCAGTCAGAATGGCAGCTATTAAGAATACAAACAACAATAAGTGTTGGGAAGGATGTGGGAAAGAAGGAACACTCATACATTGCTAGTGGGAATGCAAATTGGTGCAGCCAATCTGGAAAGCAGTATGAAGAATCCTAGGAAACCTTGGAATGGAATCACCATTTGACCCATCTATCCTACTCCTTCGTTTATACCAAAGGACTTAAAAACCGTATACTACAGGGACTCAGCCACATTGGTGTTCATAGTAGCACAATTCACAATAGCTAAATTGTGGAATCAACCTAGATGCCCTTCAGTAGATGAATGGACAAAGAAACTGTGGTACATATACATATACATAGTGGAATATTACTCAGCATTAAAAGAGAATAAAATCATGGCATTTGCAGGTAAATGGATGGAGTTGGAGAATATAATGCTAAGTGAAGTAAATTAATCCCCCCAAACCAAATGTTGAATGTTTTCTCTGATTTGTGAATGCTGATCCATAATGGGGATGGGGCAGGGGGAAAGGAAAGTAATGGGATAGGGCAATGGGAGGGAGGTGAAGGGAGAGAGCATGAGGGTAGGAAAGAGGTGGAATGATATGAACATCATTACCCTAGGTACATGTACAAAGACATGAATGATTGATTCTACTTTGTGAACAACCAGAGACATGAAAAAGTGTGCTCTATATGTGTACTAAGAATTGAAATGCATTCTGCTGTCATGTATAAAAAATAGAATAAATAAATAAATTTTAAAAATGCAATTGGACCCCTATCTTTCACTCTGCACAAAACTCAGCTCAAAGTGGATCAAGGATCTAGGTAGGCATTAGACCAGAGACCATGGACATACTAGACATACATGTCAGCTTAAGAGCCAAATTCCTCAAAAAGACTCCTAAAGTGCAAGAAGTAAAATCAAGAATCAATAAATGGGATGGTATCAAACAAAAAAGCTTCTTCACAGCAAAGGAAACAATAATGTTAAGAAACAATATAGAGAATGGAAGAAAATCTTTGCTACCTGTACCTTAGAGAGAGCATTAATTTCTAGGATATATAAAACACTCAAAAAACTTAATAAAACACACACACACACACACACAACCTAAATGATGCAATCAATACATGGACAAAGGAACTGAACAGATACTTCACAGAAGAAGAAACACGATTGGTCAAGAAATATGTGAAAAAAATGTTCAACATCACTAGCAATTAGAGAAATGCAAATTAAAACTACACTGAAATTTCACCTTACTCCAGTCAGAATAGCAAAATTATCAAGAATACAAGTAACAATAAATGTTGGTGAGGATGTGAGGGGAAAGGTATGCTCATACTTTGCTGATGGGACTGCAAATTTGTGCAACCACTATAGAAAGCAGTATGGAGATTCTTCAGAAAACTTGGAATGAAACAACCATTTGACCCAGTTTTCCCACTCCTGGATACCCAAAGGACTTAAAATCAGCATACTATAGTGATATAGCCACGTCAATGTTTATAGCACTTTAATTCACAATAGCTAAGGTATGGAACTAACCTAGGTGCCCTTCAGTAGCTGAACAGATAAAGAAAATGTGGAATATTACTCATCCATAAAGAAGAATGAAATTATGGCATTTGCTGGTAAATGGATGGAACTGGAGACTATCATCCTCAGTGAAATAAGCCAATCCTCCAAAACAAAAGGCCAGTGGCTAGGGAGGCGGAGACAGGAGGATTGAGAGTTGAACGCCAGCCTCAGCAATGGCGAGTCTCTAAGCCACTCAGTGAGACCCTGTCTCTAAATAAAATACAAAATACTGCTGGGGTTGTTGCTCAGTATTGAGTGCTCCTGAGTTCAATTCCTGGTACAAAAAAAAAAAAGAAAAGAAAATGTTTTCTCTGACATGTGAATGCTGACTCACAATAGGTGTCTGGGGATTCCCACCAGATTGGACAGGGTGGAGTGGGGCGGGGGAGTTTGGGAATGGGAAAGACAGGAATAAATTGGATATAACTTTCCTATGTTCCTATATGAATACACGACCAGTGAAACTTCACATCATGTAAAACCACAAAAATGGGAATTTAGACCCCATGTATATGTGATATGTCAAAATACATTCTACTATCATGTATAACATAAAAAGAAAAAAAATTAAAAATAAAAATAATTTTCATAGTCTCTATTAAAAAGTAAGTCCTGCTGCAGGCATTAAATAAATTATTTTTATTAATTTATCCAGACATCAAAACAATTAAATGTGAGTAGTTACAATATTTTAAATATTGCTGCGAAATTAAGAGTGAGAGTTAGAAAGTACTATGTATATATAATCCAACTAATAGTATTATTTTTATACTAAAAAAAACAATGTTATTTAAAAAAATCAAGTTGGTGGAGAAGTTAACAACACAAAACTTTTGGTTTATTCTCACTTTAAGAAATTTTCTATAACTATAGTATATTGAACAACTAAAAATGGATATTGTAATATATATCTAGATTGGCCACTGTGTGGCAGCAAAGAAGCATTATATATGTAGATTCTAGAATAGTAGAAAGGATAAGACTTATTAACTTTATAATTCTTACCACTAGTATATATTTAAAAATATGTACCAAACATGATTGGTGATATATTATTCTTCATTCAAAATTGGAAAATAGAAACATGACATGGAACCTAATATATCTTTGAGAGCAAAATTTCTAAAGGGGGAGGAACTAGATTGAAACAAAGTATTATCCATATTACTCAAGGATCCTCTAAATATGCTACAATTTCTTTTTCATCTAACATTTATCATTCATGTGAGAGTAACTAATTACAAAGATATTTTGTATAGAGTTTAATCTCTTATAGCTAAAAATCTAAGACTACAATCAAATTGACTGCATTTGAAATATCAACTACTAGAATTAGGTGATCAACTAAAGTTTTCTGACTTCTGTTTCATTCTGCTACACTATATTTCCTCATGTCTTTATAATGCAAATTAGAACACAATAAAATACTACATAATAATATAAAATAAAGAAAAACAACTTACCCACATAATTTTAATATGTCACATGCAGGTTCTATAAATTGGGGTTGGTTTTCAATTTTTCCTGCACACAAATTCAGAATTTTAAATATCTGTGCTAAATCCCTTAAGGGCTTTAAGATTTTTAGTTAAGAAATAAAATTAATATCAATATCTTTATCATTATGTTCTTTATAGTATTTTTGTCAAGAAAATCTATACAATTCCATCTATTTTATTAAATATGGCACTTAATTTTTATTATTTTGAAGTCTGAAGAGGAAAATTCAGAACTATATTTTTAGCAGTATTATTTAGTTTTCATCTCACTAACTTTTTAAAAAAAATTTTTAGTTGTAGATGGAAACAATACCTTTATTTTATTTTATTTATTTTTATGTGGTGCTGAGGATCAAACCCAGTGCCTCACACATGCCAGACGAGTGTGCTACCCTGAGCCACAACCCCAGCCCCCTCACTAACTTTTTATTCAAAATTATTTTCTTCTCATCACAATTTTAGAATTAGATTATCAACTACTAACCATACATCCAGTTGATCAATAACTTACTACTGGCAATGAATGAAAATAAATTGAAAAATTAATGATCAGGTTCATGTATATCCTCCATTTCCCAACCACATGCACATAAACATACTGCTCTGGAACAAGCAATCCAAAATGTACTTTAGTGTTTGAATTTATTAACATTTCTTGCATTCAGGGTTTAAAATGGTTGGGATTTTAGTTCATTTAAAACTAATATGAAAGTAAAACATAGCCTCTATAGATCTTTAGGCAAAAACACCTTTTATTTTTCCTGTTTAAAAACCCCTATTGGTTTTGAACAACCAACAATAAAAAATTAAAAAAAAAAAAAAAAGAGAATAAAGAATTCTACTGTCAAAAATAAAAAAAATAAAAAATAAAAACCCCTATTGGTGTAAAACATGTTTCATTTATTTATTTATTTATTTTTACCCCTAAGAGATCAAAGAAGTTATGACTTACAGTTTTTGGTTGAGTTCTATTATTTCTAGGTTTTTTCTAGGTACCTCTAAGAAAGAGATGGGGTTACTGAATATACTAGAAGTATGCATTTCCCTATCTTTGGGAAGTTTTGCAACTTCCAAAGCTAGCCTATTACTTTTAAAGGCATTCAGAAATAGAACCATTTGCCACCAAATGTCTAACATGAAAGGGCGGGGGGAGGGGACACAAAAAACAAACAAAACAACAACAACAACAACAAAACCATGAAAATCTGATGGAAGTGTTGAGGTATCAGGTTAAAAGGAAAGGAATCACTTGCTAGCAGACTTTCTTGGCTCCCAGAAGAAATGCTTAATATCCACAAGTCTCTAGACTGATTCAATAGATCCATATACAACCAACTCATTTAAAATAAAGAAAAGACCTACATAAAATTATACAGCACATTTCTTTCAATGGGAGACTTAAGTTGTTTTCACCTGGGACACGTTAATATTAGACTGATATCTTCTTTAGATCATGTTACACAATTTTTTAGGTCAATTCTACTCAAAGAGGGGTCTATGTATCATTTGTTCTTAAATCATGTTACCAAGTCTATTAAAAGATGAGTACAGAAAATGAAAGTGGATATTCAAACACTTTCATGGCAACCAAATATTCCTGTGAAGATTTTCTGTATTTAACAATAGATTTTAAAAGATAACAACTACTCAGCAACAAAATGGTTCTTATACACAGACAGATTTTGGGTTTTGAGACACACTGGTTTTCTGATCAGGGTGTTATAGTCATTTAGGACAATGTATTCATATAATATTTTATCTTCACAACTTCATGACGTACAATTATCTCATTCTAAAAGGGTAGAGAAGTTAAGAAGCTTATCAAAGGTACAATGATCATGTCAATTGGTAGAAAAGAGACTTGAACTTGGCACTCCTATCATCCACTTCTTCCTGAATCTATAGAAACTGACATTATCCACAGATAATAAATAGTACAATGGACAGAATAATGATTTCCCCAAAGATGTCCATGACCTAATCTTAGGAACCTGTGAGTATGTTACCTTAGATGGCAAAGAGATTTTCCAAATGTGATTGAGTTAAAAATCTTGAAATGAGGAAATTATACTAGATTATCCAAGTAGGCTCAGGGATAGTTTAATGGAAAAAGGGAGGCAGGAGGTCAGAGAGATGAGGATGAGATAGGATGACTACTGCAGCGGTAAGAGTGATATCACTGGGAGGAGGGAGGTCCTGAGCCAAGATATTCATGAAGCATCTAGAAGGTGGAAAAGGCAAGAAAATGACTTCCCCCCCTAGAAACTTCAGAAGGACCCAGCCCTTCCAACATCTTGACTTTAGGCAAATGAAATTAATTCTGGACTTCTGACCTCTATAAGATAATAAATTAAGGTAGTTTTAAGTCACCAAGTTTTAAGACATCAATAATAATTTGCTGCAGCAACAAATAGGAAATTAATACACTTTCTAATCGAAATTCTCCTATTTCAAAATAAATGAACACATAAAGATATATAAAGGATACAAGTCCATTCTGATAATACTGCACCAGTTTCTTGACAGATTTAAGTTGTTTTTCTTCTAAATCATCCTAAAACAAATGTTCCATTTAATTCTTTTGAACTATTAAATCTGTTGAAATTTTAAAAAATTTCTTCAAAAAGAAAAAAGACACTTTAAAATGATCAAGGAATTCTTAAATTAATATAAGCATTATAAAATGTTTTCTGAAACAGTAAGGGTAAAAATAAAATACCATTTAAATTTGACTAGGAAATGGAACTAAAAATTAGGTTAATGTCAAAGTTATAGTTTTTTCCAGAAATAATAATAGTTGAAATATGTTGAACATTTTTCTTTGTCATATATCATACAGGCACTATTTACATGTCTCTCATTAATCTTTTAAATATCTCTATTACCAGGATATTATTATCCTTCTTTTCAGAGTAAAAAACACAAACTGAAGTAATTTATTTATCCAAAAACAAAGCTTAAAAGTGGTAGTATTAGAAATTAAATTTGGCAATCTGAACCCAGAAATTGTATTCTTAACCTATAAAAACTGCCCAGTGTACTGTGCAAACCAAACATCTTTCATATACTAAAAACTAAAACAAACAAAAGCTCTCTATATAGTGATGTGTCTTCAAGATAAATGCCTTCTTCCCTTTTAATCTTCTTAAACTGATTGTGAAAGCTGTGGCATTACCTATATGTTTTGGGGCCAGCTTTATTTAACAGCTAATAGGAGCTATCTGTAGTTGGATTTTTCTCTTTTAAGGAAATATAGATACATTCACAATTTTTTAAAAATATTTTTATTTTATTTATTTATTTTTATGTGGTGCTAAGGATCGAACTCAGTGCCTTATGCATGCAAGGCAAGTTCTCTACCACTGAGCCACAACCCCAACACCTACATTCACATTTTTAAAAGAACTTTTTACAAAAATCACAGGCAACAACAACAACAACAAATTCTTACTTTTATTTTGGTCTATGTAAAACATAGACCAAAAATATTAAAACAATTACTAAATTCTTGTGCTTACTATTCATAAGACATTGATTTGTTTTGATGGCTATGCCATGGTCAACCCTACTTATTAAGAATGTATAATCTTCCTTGGGAAAGGCTACATAAAGTTTTACAGTGCATGCTGGCTTTTAGGCATTCAGTAAATTCTTGGATAACATCAGGAGGTGTGGTAATGAGTATGTGTACATACACATTTGCTATCCTTTTTCTCAATTACTAAACTCTCAGCCTTGAGTCTTTGGTCTGAAATAATTTTACTTCATTGCATTTTAGGTAAGATTTTTCTCAAAATAAATTATCTATGTTCATGTACGAGTGTGTATAGAGGCTGTAATTTCAAAACAGAAATTTTTTATTGGTACATTAGGAACAACTCACCACCACCACTCCCCATTATTTTTTTTTTACTACCTCCTCCTCCAATCCTGTTTGGTAACAAGCAATTTACAGAGGCTAGATAACACTGTCTCTATTCTTATGAATCCTTCTGTTATTAGTCACCATGGGTTTGTTCATCCCCCCAAAGCAAATCTGTTCTCTAGCTTCCCTATCTGGATAAATATATTAATACTAAATAATAGTCCTTGAATTTTAGAATATATATGGTTTGAAATTTCAACAAAAGGTGATAAATGAGACATTTGTGGGAATATGAGTTACCTGTCAGGGAAATAAATTTGTAAGTGTTGTAGTAGAATAATTCTTTATCAAAGCATACTTACTTTATCTTTATCTTCCAAGAGTTTCATAACACGATTAAGGTCCATAGGCTTGAAAACACCCTAAAAAACATACAACTCTTAGCATTCTACATCTTGGGAATTAAGAAATGACATCAAGGGCTGGGGCTATAGCTCAGTGGCAGAGCACTTGCCTAGCATGCGTGAGGCATTGGGTTCAAACCTCAGCACCACATAAAAATAAGCAAATAAAATAAAGAATTCTGTCCATCTACAACTATAAAATTTTTTTAATCTCATCAAGCACACTATTTTTATATGATATTTTCCCTTAGTAACTTAAAAATATCTATGACAATAAGATAGCAAGAGGAGAATGAAAAACAGATGAGAACTTACAGGAAAAAAGAATAAATTTTGGAGTTAAAACCACCACCAAAGATTTCTTCTGAATTATAGTATTACCTTATAACCTTAAAGATTTTAAATTTGATCAGCCCTAAAAGGTCCAAAAGAGCATTTGGAATAATAGCCCTTATATGTTATGGAAAACAAAATTATATGGTGCATGCATAAACATTACACTAAGTTTTCCTGTGTAGATATATGATAAACTAGCTTCTAAACAACCTGTAGATGACCTTCTTGAATTCACTATTCCCCTCTCAGTTGGTACCAGCATTCTTCCGGTCATCCACATTAGAAAACAAGAACCTCAAAGTTCTACAGATTTTTTTACATTTTAAATTTCTTGAACTCATTCCAATGACTTATTCAGTTGCATCTCTCACCCAGTTGAGTAGGGTTACTGCTATTCTCCCTGCTCCCACTCTTGCATCTTTCAACACTGTTCTCCATGGTCAGAATAAAATGCAAATTTGAAATAACCACCTAAGTCACTCAATGATTCCCCACTGATGCCTCTTATCCCATTCTGTTTTTCATTTATGTTGTTGCAATTCTATTTCTTTTCTTGATGAATTCCCACAGGTTCTTCAAAATGAGGCCCATTTGTCACCTCCCCAAGGCATTAAAAAAAGATTAGAAAAGTGTCTGTCCTCCTCTGTGCATCCATGAGCCCTAAGTATATGTCCATTACAATTCCGTTACACTACTCTGAAAGGATTTACAAGCCTACCCCACACCACTTCCTTCCTTGAAATCTGTTGAGGGCACAGACTTTTGTTTCTGGCATTCCCAGCACACTGTATCTGGCATGTAGTAGTGTGTTAGTTGCTTAATACGTGCTCATATGCAGGCTATTTTGGTAAATGCTTGAAATCTCAGAGACTCTAGTGGCTGAGGGAGGAGGAACCCAAATTCAAGACCAGCCTGGGCCACCTAGCAAGACCCTATTGTTGAGAGCCACAGCCCAGGGGGCCCCAGCAAACGTTCAGACTGCCAGCTGACGATTGGCTCACAGCAGCCCCAGCAACTTCTAGCTCATTGGCTCCTCTGCAGTGATGCTCATTGGGCTGTTTCCCCGCCCTTTCAGACTACGGAGCTGCTCATTGGGGGACTTTTTTGGCTCCACCCACGCGACCCAGCCAATCTGCCTCAAGAGCAGGAGGAGTGGGGGAGGTAGAGAGGCTTGTGGGAAGCCGTGGTGGCAGTTGGGCTCTGAAGGTTTTCCTGAGGAGCTGTTTTGTTTGGCAGTGTGTGGTTCTAAAAATAAAGTTCTTTCTTTTCACAGGTGGCTCCTGAATTGTGCCCAGCCAGACTGCAGCACCTATCTCAAAATAAAAAATTAAAAAGGACTGACTGGGGATGTAGCTTGGTGGTTCAGTCTCTAGTATCAAAAAAAAAAAAAAAAAAAAAAAAAAAGCTTTTAAACTTAACCAAGAAGTTATTTTATAATAAAGTTGTTTGTAGGTAAGTGAAGAAGAAATCAGGAAGTGTTATCATCCAGAGTTTAAGCACTGAACAAATAGTTTCTATTCTCTTTAGGGTAGTCTTCATTTATGTCCACAAGATTTAACCAACAGAATATAATAATAGGAAGATGGTCTTGCCTACTGTGTGGAGACTGAACTGGAGAATACTAGACTGGAGGTAGGAAACCAATCTGAAACTTCAGGCTTTGATAAAAGTTTTGGCAACTGGTATAGGCAATAGTGAATAGAGATCAAACATCATGATGATGTTGATATGATGATACAAATTTTAAATACAGTTTTGCTATGTTTATCTGGAAGATTAATGTTTTGTTGAGTGGCATTTTCTTTTTTTTAACTATTTACAATTTTATGTGGTAAGTGTATTACTTTTTTAAATTTAATTTTTTTATACAAATGAAGCACAACTTTTCATTTCTCTGGTTGTACATGATATAGTCACCCCATTTGTGCAATCATACCCATACACAGAGTATAATGCCATCTCTTTCCACCATCTCCCACTCCCCAGCCCCCTGCCCAATTCAAAGTTCCTCCATTCCTCCCTTGTCCCCTACCCCAACCACTATGGATCAGCATCCACTTATTAGAGAAAATATTTGGCCTTTGGTTTTTTTAGGATTTACTTACTTGGCTTAACATGGTATTTCCAACTCTATCCATTTACCTGTAAATGTCATAATTTCAGTCTTCTTTAAGGCTAAGTAATATTCCATTGTTTTAATCCAAATGTTATGCTAATGTTGCTTATTCCCATTACAAAAGTTAAATTATTCCAGTTTCCTTTCTCATCCTTTTCCCCACTTCTTATTTTCATATTTCCTCTGCTTTAAAATGTTTAAAAAGATGATGTAATCATGATAAAGGGGACACACTCCTATTATATAAATATATCTATTTTTTTTATATTTTTCTATTTTTGTTTATATGAATAAACACATAATTTTACTTGGTATTAAGACTACTACATTTTTTACTTTAAATCTAAAACATGTTTTTTGTATTTCTACATATGCAATATTATATTGCATCTTAAGTTTAGAATTTCCTTGTCATTCACAAATATAAACTCATATATCCTCATCTCAAGATATTTCTTTCAAAAAATTTTTCAATTGTACATAACTTTAAATCTGTAAAATAGTTTTTATTTTTTTTTTTACTAAAATGTCTTAATCCGTTACAATAAAAATTTTACTGAGTACTTATCTGTACTTGGTATTATAGTTACAATTAAAAATTCCAAATTTGTTGTTACAAAAATTTGGTAAATAGAATTTTGCCTTTTAAGATTTGGAGATTTAACAGTGCCATCTGCCACTATGATGGATGTCATTTCTCTTTTCCTTCTATGTACTCAGATTATAGATAGAGTGGGTTTTATTTTATGATTCACTGTAATATTTGCTTTTGAGGATTAGATAAATATATTGAAATTAAAAGTCAATCCAGGATTTTCTTTTTAATACCTGTATTATGATCAAAAATTTCCCCTAAGGAGTAAGTATAATTTTTTATAGGAAATAGAGAATAGATTCCTTTTGGATTTATCTTACATTGTCATTTCACAGTACTCTGTGCTGCTTGTGTGACATATTTTTAAAGTACCTTTCTTAGCCTTTCCATGCTTCCACACATATTTATTACAAGGTTCTATGTTTCAGGAACTGTGCTAGGTATCAGGAACACATTGCTGTGACTCAGGTAGCTATTTGTTTGCAATTGAATTTTACAGAAGGCCTTGTAAGTTGTACTAAAGATCTTAAGAGACCATTGAATGGTTAGAGAGTGAATACATAAATGAACAATGGCCAAACTACATATGAAAAAAAAAAACAAAACAAAACTACAAACCACAACATCTGTAGCAAGCAGCCTGGGAAACTAGCCCACACCATCTACAGCAATTGATTCAGAAAATCAAGGTTCTGTCAAATGACTGCAGTTTCCCCATTTTTTGTACCCCTGCTTCCAACTCAGGAACAACTTGAGAAAGCCAAACATAAGTCAAATACAGAAAAAAAAATGTTGATAGAAAAAAAGGCATTATTAAAAAAAGAAAAAAGTCAATATAAAACATGCAATAATTATGCTTCCAAAATCAATCAAATAGGATGTACAGCTTCTAACCAACCCAGCTCTGGTTTCCCCAGGGAAATAACCTGCAATCTCAGAATAACAGAAACTCTATCATCTCCCACCCCACACCCACAGTATAAAGTTTTCCTTCCTGGAGTCTAGGCCCAAAGCAAGTGATGGTGAATAACTCCCTCTCCATAGCAAGTCTTGAACAAATAGTCTCTGATCTCTTTAGGGTAGTCTTCATTTACGTCCACAAGATTTAATGAACAGAATATGATAATAGGAAGATGATCTTGTCTATTGTGTGGAGACTGAACTGGAGAGTATTAGACTGGAGGTAGGAGACCAGTCTGTAACTTCAGGCTTTGAAAAAGTTTTGGCAACTGGTATAGGCAATAGTGAATGAAGTTAAAACACCAAGGAGCTGGGATTATAGGTGTGTGCCACCTGTATTGAGTGGCATCAGGCAATGTTCTAGTTGCAAATAATATGGCAGTGAATAACACAAAATGTGATTTTATAAAGGATCAGCAGAACATAGTAAGTGATTAGATGCAGTGGAAGAGAGAGAGAAAAAAAATGAGGATAACTCCCCGGCTTGAGGAATTATGTAAATGGTCTGACCATTTACTGAGACAGGAAATGGGGAAGAGATTTGGGTTGGTGCTGGAGATGAATTAAATTTGGGGCACAGGTTTCTGAATCATGGACTTAAAGTGATAATTTCAGATTTGGGGTAATTTAGATGAACCAATCATAACCATGCATTTATTCCACAACTATTTTTCATGTATTTATTTAGTTAATTAGTTAGTTAGGTTTTGGTACCAGGGATTGAACTCAGGGGCACTTGACCACTGAGCCACATCCCCAGCCCTATTTTGTATTTTATTTAGAGACAGGGTCTCACTGAGTTTCTTAGCGCCTTGCAGTTGCTGAGGCTGGCTTTGAACTTGAGATCTTCCTGCCTCAGCCTCCTAAGCCACTGGGATTACAGGTGTGTGCTAGTACACCTGGCTCATTTATTTTTTTTAAGAGATGGGGTCTCCAACTGGGTGTGGTAGCACACGCCTGTAATCCCAACAACTTGGGAGGCTGAGGCAGGAGGATAATGAGTTC